GGGATTTTGTTCAAACTTGGTACATACATTGAACATTATGGGACCTTGATGTATGTCATTCTGTTTTTCAGATCGGATATATAAAATGGCTGACTGGCGGCCATTTTGTTTTACTGAATGCAGTTCTCGTGCCATATCTCTGCCATGCTTTGACTGATTATGTTCCAATTTTATATATTCTTATGTTCCAACTATATTACTATAAACAAAACTATATATCTTAAGTTTGATAACTAATTGGGACTGTGCCATGCATGCTTTGTTCTGTGTCTGTATTTCCCGCGCAATATGGTTGGATAATATATTATTTCATTTTTTTTTAGGACTTTTATATTCAATTTTTACCATGCAAAAAAAATATTATTTTGTTAGTGTGTTATCTCTCTATACATTTCTAATTTAATCTAGATTCTCAATGGACAAGGTTGTTATAGTTACGCTATGTTTATAATTTGAAATGTATTGTAATTGACATTGATATTCATTAGGTTGATGGTAAATTGCCGAACAACGCTAAATCTTACTTAGAACTGCCAGCAACTAGAGCCGAGGCTGAAGCAAGAGGCATTTTCCAGTCAACGCAACATAAGGGTGGTATACACCACGGTGGTCTTTCACTGCACAATAAAGATAATTTTCAGATTGCCACTCTGGTTTGCTCTACAAAGTTTCCTCAGAACAGTGAGTCAATTTTTTATTCATTTATTTTTTATATTTATTTTTAAAAGATCTAAGAATATTCATCATATTAGTAATTCATTCAAGAAATAACAGCACAAGGATATTTGTATTTAAAGGTATATGCCTATGCTTGCATGATATATGAATAAGGAAAATATGTCAAATTTGTTTGCAAATAAATTTAAATTAAAAATAATAGTCTATGTGAGGAACGAGAGGATGTAGCAGTGTTACATCGAAGCATCGCTTTATGAGTGTACTGAACAATTAGTATGTGGATTGTTAATTACACAAAACTTGTTTGATATAAAATATTGTGCACAAAGCCAGATTTCATTGTTGACATGTTGCCTAATCTTATTTGTTTGCTGATTACTTGTGTCGTCTATTTTCTAGTTGACTTACTTGGTTTGTTGAAATGGAGAGCCGATCCAGAATTCAACGTTAAAGACAAGCTGTACACCTTTATGAAGAAGGTAGATGGAGAAGAAATCGTCAAGGTATCGTGGTGATAGAAAATAATTCTCTCCGTCCTACTTTGTTGATATTGAATCCAGTTTATTATTGATCACCAATTGTTGATCCTGCAAATCAGTTTCTGTCCAGTTTGTAGCAATTTAACTTTGTTGACAAATTAAGCAGACCTACTTACAATTGGATAAAACGCAATACTGCATTTGTATGTAAGGTGCGTCCCACTCAAAAAATATATTTACATAACAACCAATTTCAGGTAAATATAAATATTGGATAAAACAAAAATATACATCTTTGGGTTGATCCAATGGTCATGAGGCACCAGATGCAACTGGTAGGCTTCTTCATCACATACCACCTTGTTGAGATTGAATAAACTGTGTAGTGCATGTTATATAGGTGGGAACCAATCAGAGAACAGAAGGAGCAAAAATTTCTGCAGTTATGACAATTTTTTCCTTGCCTCAACCCTTTGAATACCAAATCTACATTTGTCTTCTTTCTGTAATTTCTTTAAAATTTTGATGAAAAATATTAGCCAATAGAATAGTATTACTGTGGAATACTTTCGCTTGGAAATAATTTTCGCTATTTTCGCTGAAAGAATGATTCAGTGAAAATAAAATCCAGCGAATATACTTTTTTCCTATATTTTGCATTCAACTTGTCAAAAATCAGTGAAAATATATTCCACACAAAACACCAAAAAAGTCTATTCAGCAAAAATTAAATCCTGCTAAAATAAATTATTTTATAGTATGTCACTTTGGTTCAAAATCAACAAAGATATTACAGTGAAATACATAAATATGTTGCCTTAAAATGCGGAATCTAAGATTACAGGGGGATTGTGAATTTAAAATTTTTTTATTGAAAACCGTTAACTTCATTGCTTTCATACCTGGTACATATGTTCTTTCGGTGGACATCTGTGCTTGATCATTTCGTATTGATATAATCAATTTTAGTGAATATTTCTTGTCATATTTGTTCAAAAACTGCAAATTGAAAACTGCAGGTTTGATTGATTTGATACTTAGTACACATGTGCCGGTACATTAGATTAGTTTATTTTGTGACTTATGCATGCTTAGTTGCATCAGGTCGCTTGTCAAAAATCAAAGGTTAAAATCAATGTCTAAACCGAAGATGTACTGACATTTTCTTTGTACAGCCTTGTATTTTCACATCTTTGACATCTTAAATTTTCCTCTTTCTTCCAGTTTCTAAGAGACACCCTAGAATCATTGTTTTATATCTGGATGGAAAACAATGAAAAAGATGATTATGATGATATGATTTTTGATGCCCTGGTAAGCTTTTTTGAATTAATCCTAAAACAGTGGATGAATGCATAGTATTCTGCCCAATTCCTGTGGTGCCCTTGAACACGTACCTCCATGGAGTGCATGCAGTTGTGGTCTAATTCTTGTAATGCCGCTCAACTCATACCCGCCAAACTGTGTTCAACTTGAACTTTCTAAACTGTATTAGACAATGGCATTCAATATAACTGCTGACCTCAAAGGGTTTCTATGGGAGCATTTAAATACCATATTTGCTCTATTAGTAGCGAGCATGCACATATGTTTATTATTTTTTTTTTATAAATGAAATAAATTATAAATGATCCAGTATAAAATAGAATTTTTTATTTGTCTGCATTTATGTTGCAGATTTATTTCCAATAGAGTGAATACAGTACATATAAATATATTTCTGTATCCAGTGGTACAAATTAAATTGAAATTAAATGTCATCATAAAACATGCTTGTATTCTCTCACAAGAAGTTCTGTAAAACATGTCTTTTTAGCATGTTATTTTAGCTAATCCACAATTTCGTTAAATTAAGATGTCGGTAATTGAAATAGAGTATATTCTCACAGTGAGATTATTGGCACTTTAGCTAAATTTAGATTCAGTTAATTCATGCATTGAGTCAAATTCGCTAAAATGGTATGTAGCTATATGATATGTAGCTAGTGTTTCACAGTATTCAGCAGTGTATTATTTTTTTTAAATTTCCAGTGATATACCTTAAAATGTTAAATATTCATGAATTGGTGATGTAAGGGTGTTATTGACTTCCATTGAATAATTTACTGCTATAGAATTCACATTGATTTGTCTCTTGAGAAATGGAAACACTTTATAGTAACTTATGATCAGTATTTTGTATATGTATTATACTGTGGAATACTTAATTTTCGCTAAAAAGGCTTTTTGGGCGTTTTGTATGGAATTTATTTTCACTAATTTCTGATGAGTTTAATGTGAAATATAGGAAAAAAAAGTATATTCACTGGATTTTATTTTTCACGGAATCATCCCTTCAGCGAAAATAGCAAAAATAAATTCCATGCGAAAATAAAGTATTCTACAGTAATATATATTTAACTGCAATTGAACCACATTCCAAAATCTAAATTACACAAAATGAATAAACCTGCTATTTTTTTTTCTTATCTATAGCCAATGAGTAATTATTTCTATTTGCTTCAAAATTAAAAAAAAAAAAGGTTTGGACACAAATTTTATTTGAAAAATTATAACGACAACGTTAAAAGATGTTGTGCTGACATTTACTGATTTCTCTGTGACAGGTGTTTGTGATTCAACTGATTGCTGACAAGAAGTACCAGCATTTTGGTACTGTACTTGATACGTACATTAAGAAACACTTCAGTGCGACATTGGCGTACAAGTAAGTACCATACTTATTCCATTTGAAGCTCATAATGTGTTGGTATGTAAAGCCCCCAAAAAAGTTGTTTGCTTCTTGCCCTAAAGAAAACGATGCAGTGATACATTTTAATTTATTTATTTTTTTACACCACAACAGCGAAGAAATATGTTCACCATTTAATAATAATGTTTTTAAATACATGAATTAAAGATTGATTTGAATCAACAAAACTTTCTAAATTCTCAGAAACAGGTAACATATATTTACCCTTTCTACAGTATGTAGCGCACTTCACCGGCATAATTGAAAAACAAAATGTGTGAGGTGGAGATTTCAAACTTGCGTGCATGAAAATAAAAAAACAAAACCTTTTTTTTTCTGGCTTTACATAGTCGTTTAGTTGGCTATTTGCTGAGGCAAATTATGTATGTGATAATTCTGTTCGCCAAAGTCTGTGATAAATGATGGGTAGCCAGTTAACTTTTGAATTAGCTAACTAGTAGGGTTGTGTTTGTATAGGCAGATGGCTCTGATTTAACATCTGTCATCACTGATTGTGACAACTGTTTTGGATCAATTCACTACAGAGTATCAAAGCATGTTTTTTACAATGTACATATGGACATTGCTTTGAGTTATTCACATTATCATTAGATAATATACATGTATCAACTTACAGGATGAGTACATGAGAATCACATACAGGATGCAGAGTACCAACACTTTTCAAAGAAAGCCTGACTTTTAAGTTGTCTGTATTCTCAGAAGTTAAACTTGTTTGTCATTGAAATTTTTCTCGATTGTCTTACTGAACCTAATTTATTTTCACATTCATTTCCCTTTAATTTCCTATTTTTATTTACCACCTTTGACGTATGCAATTTTTCTTCTTGTAGGAAATTAATGACCGTTCTTACGAAGTACGCAACCCGTGCTGAGGAAACCGAAAAACAGGAGCCACTATTCAAAGCTCTCAAAGCCTTAGAGTACATATTTAAATTCATCATTCGTTCAAGAGTTTTATTTTCACAGTAAGTTTTCTCTGATTTACAGTGCAATCTTTTTAAGCCAAACAAACAAAGGAACCAAAATATTATCCAGTTTTCAGTGTGTTTAGTTTCGACACATAGTCCAGTGTTCTCGACAAATTAAAATTGATGGAGGAAGCATGACCCAAGAATGTAGAAGTGGTCAGGGCAGTAACAAGTCAAAGTTGGTATGGAAAAATTATGTCAAAGTGGGTGGGGCAGCTGACCTAGTTAAAGGATAAGTGGAATTATTCATTCAAAGAGGATGATTACACCTCAAGGAGGTTTTATTTTTATAAATAAATATTTTACAGTGTTTACATTAATTCATGATGTACACGCTGTATGAAACAGTGAAAGACTTACTGACAATACAAATGTTTCGGCTTAAACGCTCTTCAAATTTATTCACGCAGCATTTATAACTTCCTAGGTGAGAAATCATCTGCCAGCTACCGGTAGCTCACACCATAAAATCTCTAATTTAGGTGTCATTTTTCGAACATTTCAATTTTTCCTGAAATTGCAATATCGCTAAATAGTCATTAACACGGCGGCTATTCTTTTATATGTAATGCATTAGCATGTCAGAGACCAGCATTAGTTCCCACAGGAAATCGACAAGATTTGCCAGTACGGCAAATACGTCTATCAGTCGCTTGTCTAATAACATACAGGGTCAGTTATTAAACTTACCTATATGGTGTTAAAGCAGTATGTACGCACTTATGGTTAAACTGTTTTATAAACTTTTGGCTTTGTATTTGTAGTCACAAAGTAGTTGTAAAATGCAATTTCAGCTGACATTGAGTCAATCAGATGATATTTTGTTCTTTCATTCATAGAGTCAACGAAGGACGTGGTATGGATGAAAGGATTGAGTTTAACAGTGCAATGACTGAATTATTTGTATCTATTAATTGTATGATGAAGTATACTAGTACTTCTGACGCCATCTTGCTCTGTCAGGTAAAATTCATGATCATTCTTATGTGTGTGTATGAAATTTTTTTTTTTTTGGCAGTTCTTGTTTTGCAACATTGCACATGCATTCGCACACATGTAGCATGCAAGTAGTGTAGTAAATTGTCAATAAAAAAATTATACAACTCATGCAGTGTTTTTTTTTTAACACCTTGCCTTCTAAGATCCTTCACAGACGTACCAAATTAAATGACTCGGCTAGTGATGTTACAAATCAAATAAATATAAAAGCATTCATTTTTTCTCTTCACATACATGTATTTTCTATTTTTTTTCTCATCAGTGATAATAGCTAAAATAACTTTAAAAAAATTTAATTTCATGAGACACACACACTTTCAGTAATTTTAAAAGATTTGAACAGTTGCTGATTTACAGGGCTGTATACCACTTTAATTTTGGCAAACAAATTTTTTCAAATTCTGTAAGCCAGTGAAAGTGGTAACATTTTGTAGCAGTCAAAATTTCTCTGAGGTTCGAAAACACAGAGTTTTGTAGTTTTTTTTCTGAATTGACTCATCAAACTCCCAAGCTGC